GTCACTCGCAGTGATTAATTTTGTTGATTGAGTTGGATGCCATGCAACACACGAAAAGTTAGCTCTTCCAGAAGGACCATTGTAAGATAAATGTAAGACCTCTCTTTTGGACTTCAAGTCCCAAATAGAAGTATAGCCACCATTACCAGCACTTGCAAAAATGTGGCTAACCGAATTGTTCCATGCAACACTGGTAACTTCATCCATAGGAGTCATGGCTTGGCCGGGAACAGATGGCTCGGTGAATTTCTTCGTATCCCATATAAAAATCTCTCCATTTGATCCACCGGTAACCAACACATGATCCTGATTTGGGTTGAACAGTAACGTTTTGACTGGCCCGCTATGTTTCGTGCCCTTGTGCACCGATGCCTTGTTTAAATCTTTGGACTTGATCAACACTTCTGCGTCCCAGAATTCCACCACTCCGTTCTCGAACGCACCAGCAAGAAGTCCCTTTGGTCTACCTTCAAATGGCTTGGACCATGCTAACGCATAAAACCGATTATCCACCGACGCCGAAAACACTGGCTTGTCTCCATTAGTTGGCGAAAATATGTCCCACAAGTCAAGCGTAGATGTCGAGTCGAAATTCACATCTACCGCTCCCGCAACCGTCCCCGTTGCTAGTAATGGCAAGCAATCCTGACTCCAAGCAAATGTTGAAGTACGTGATATTTCGTCGATCTTAACCATTCTAATAATCAAATATAACTGTACTGCCTAATTTAGCAACTGTAATATGCTTTTTAATTATTCAAATGTGTCTAAGTTGTTCTTCACTTTGAAAACTCTTTCACAATCCTTGTATTAACACTTTGATTCTTGTATAAGACCTTCTAGTTTTTTCAAGATATACAAAATTTTCAACAACAATTATATATTAGGATACCAATTGGTTAGCTAACTTCGATTGATTATTACTTATAACCTATTGAATCTGTGTCTTATTCTAGATCTAAACAACGCTGATTCTGCCAACGCACCAATTCATTGATCCATTTTCTGCGTTGAAAAAAAAACATGGTCACATGATCGTTCCAATCCAAGAACAATAAAGGGCGTAATAAGAGGTATTGGTGGATATATGTAAGGTTGGGTGGATCGGGGAGCAGGTATGTAGTAGGTGTGTGTAGTAGGTGTGTTTAATTGGTATGTTTGTGTAGGTTTTGTGGATTATTTGTTGTTCGTAGGTGATTAGGGCATACTAGAATGGTGAATGGGTTCAAGTGGATTGGTGGATATGGTGAATATGGCGAATACGGTGCATATGGTGAATATGGTGAATACATGGGATGGTGAATGCCTGGAATGGTGAATATTTGGGATTGAATGATATCCAGTAAATACCGGTGATATCTGGTGAAGAGAGCTCGTGCCTATAATAATTATATACGGGAATACGCTGTAGTAGAGATTCGTTGACGAGTTGAACACTTAGACGTCACAACACACTAATGTAATCGAAATTATATTTTTGCCCCAACGGGTCTATACCAATTGGTCAAACATTGTAGGGGTCTTGAAACAAATTAAGATGGATTGTGATAAGCTGCAAAAGAGCACAGTTGGAGCTCAGAAACCCAACGGAACCATTTCAAATTAAAACAAGCCTAATTGATCAAATTTGAGGTGGTCTCTGCAAGCTCATGGATAAGAAGACCTGCAAGACAATTGTACACGCCGTTTCTGACCAGTACCACTATTTAAAAATATTTTTTCTTCTAGACTCTCTGGAAAATGGCAAACTCTTCTTCCAGTTAGCTCTAATCCGCCCTAGTCACCATTAGACTCAATAAAGAAGCTCAATGGGACATAATAGTGGCCGTTTCTCTGACTATAACAAGATATTCCATAATAACCTGTAAACCACTTGCCTCAATTTTACAGATTACTACGAGACTTAAATATTGGATTTACTGTGGATTTGACATATTTCCATAAGAGCTAAAGAGACATGACATGCTGGAGCAGCATATAGATAATGAAGAACAAAAGGTAATGGAGTTTGATATTCCATTACCATTGAATGAGATACGACCATCGGCAAATCTCATGAAAAGACATAATAAAATTGGCATCCTACTCGGACTACCAGAGGACGATATTCAATTACAACATCTTTTCAGCACGGTGGCAACGATTTGTGATCCATTTACACAGCCAGAAGAAAACGAAAACTCTATCCTAAGCTTGGATTGTTTATCGGACGTTCTTATTGCATTATCATATACATATTTCAAAAACCACGCAAACGATGAGGAGGATGAAAGCTTGAGGAATCCAGACATACACTCGGTGAAATTTGCCCTCTCAACACAGTTCTTTACGCTTTTAAGATATATTCAGGCATTATTGAACGCTGACGATGAAATCAAACTAAGATACGTTAAGAATTCCGAAGACGTCTGGTTTAAAAATTTGCCAATATGGACACCGAACGAAGATATACTATGCGATGAGTTTGCCCTAAAACTCTGTTATTCCATATCGTGTGTCCTCTTGTTTGCTATATGTAAATTGTTTAAGCCCGAAAATGGTGATCAAGAATACAACTTAGCATTGAATCCATACTTGCAATATTTCATTAAGCTCTGGAAATGCCATACGAATATCATATTATTGGGTTTAGAAATTGATCGCCGATTGGAGGTCGAACAGGCTCAATGTCCGTATATGATTACTCGGACATTGAAAGGCTCCAGTTCTATAAGGTATGTGTTGGCATGGACTTTAAACCAAAACCCTTCACTGTTAGCATTTTATGGCTTTGATGCGGCCAGTTCCGATGCAAGTAAAGGTTATTTCGGTGGCATCTACGATACAAAATACCAAAGCTTGCTTAATTTCACTCAGCCAATGTCGCGTAAGAAAATAAATGGGGGTGCGCTACTGATAGACATGAGATTGGTTGTTATTGCATTATTAATCATTAATTCAGGTACTTCGTTCACAGCTAGTCAAGAAAAAACTAATGATCTTGCGATCGTAGCATCCGAAAGAATCAAAAATCAAGCGACACCAATTGCGGAATTGGGCGATTTGCTTATTGATTTAGAGTACGACGATCAATTCGACGAGGATATACGATATATTTTCGACTGTGAGTATGATGATTTAGAGGATGAATGGCTGGATGTGGTCGAAGAAGAGGAAATTGCAAAGCTTCGTAATAAGGAAAATACCTCAAAGACAAAAGAACCAAACGGAAAAGAGAGAAAAATGTCGAATGCAGTTCGAGCTAAAGATGATATAGAATTCGATGAATATGGGAATGATTGGCGTGACCTACCTCGTGGAAATAATGCATACTTCCAAGACTGGTTCATTGATATTGCCAATACCTTTGACAATCTGTTAGAAGTGCAAAAAGGTAATTCGGATGATATTCTTTACTGTTGGAGTGAACTAAGAGAAAGTTTTGATTTTCTCATTACCACGAGCATAGAAGGCGACAATGAGGCTGAAGAAAAATTTGGACAGGTTGTTATCAACACTGTTTCTAAGGCTATTAAGGATGAATCTGAGGAGAAGCATAATGATCATGCCCAACCCAACACCCCCGATATTATCTATCAGTATTTCTGTGAGCTGGCATCGGAGGAAGCTATTCAAAATACACAAAATAATAATAAACTAATAGTTCCGATTTTTAATATTACTAAATTCGAATTGCTTTTGCACAATAATAGTAAGTTAGCAAGATGTCTCATGGATGAAATGCTCATGTGTAAAGGGTATCGTCGTGTATTGATTTGGTTCATTACACATGATATCAATTTGTCCACATTATTGATCGATTATATTTTTGAATTATTAGCGGGTTTGCGAGGAAATGATGAGAAACAGAGTCCTTATAAGCATACTAGAAAAGGAGAACAGGTCGAATTAAGTGTAGTTGAACAACTGATGCTTCTCCATGAATTTTTAACCAACAGCGGAATATACCTATCTGCCACTGAGGGTATTGAAATTGATAATGGTTACAAGGTGGTCTTATCTGAATCGATAGCAAAGAAATATATGACTCTTATTTGTCTTATGATAAATCAGTTAATCAATATTGGAATAATAAATCTCGACAGAAATTCGGCCAGTGGCAAGTCAGAAGGCGAAGAAGATATCCATGATTATTCAACCGATCTCCAAGTCCTTTTAATTCAATGGATAGGTAAGCTACCAGAAGCTCGTGAGCTCTTCTTTAAGATCAAAAAAGCAAACTATAATGGCGATACGACTGCTGTAGAAGATTCTGTTGCTGAAGTTCCTACAGTACCAACTAATGAGGCTGATAACAAACAAGATGTCACCCACCTAATCACACGCTACTCACAAATGACCGGTGCGCAAATTACTGAAGACTTGGAGAAGAACCTGTCGCATATAGCGATTTTGGTTGTATTAATAGGTCGATTAGAGAGACATGTCAAAACTGTCATAGCCACGGAATTGAATGAAGTTAACCTTATAGGCGAAGACATGATTTCTACTGATCTCAACCAAATGTCTAGTGACTTCAACCTTTTCCTACAAAATTTCAACACCTTTTGCAAAATAGACTTTTTCGCAGAAGAGCTATTTGGTATCTTCGAAAACCTTGCGACCACAGGACACTTCATTGAGAAAATTCCTTTGCTAACAGAAGAATTCGATTCTGAATTTAATGACCTGTTTCTCAACGGTGAAGGTAAGTTCAACGACAAAATAGAAGACGAAAACGAAAGCAAATCATCAAAGAAGAAAAACAAGAAAAAGAAGAAAAAGAAGAAGGTAAAAGAGTATTTCTGGTAAGGATAATAATATATAGAAATATACTAGTATCGATATATGTTGGGTGTAGGCCATAGGAATGTAGTAAACTCTCCATCTTGAATCAGGGTCAATTTGACAATGACTCTGGAAAAGGCCAGTTCTTACACAAAAGTCTAAAAGGGGAACGCTAACTACTACTTATATCTTCATTATCACCGAATAACTGGAAAACTATAATTTCTCCCAATATGTTCGCTAATCAATTACGTTCTAATATTACTAAATCAATCAATATGTCTTCCAAGAGATTATCTTCTTCAATTGTTCCAGTAAGTAATGAAGCAAGCATGTGATCCGTAAATCAAATACTAACTTTTCAGGTTAAAACTGCCAATGCCCCACCACCAGCAGCTTCTTATTCACAAGCTATTAAGGTCAATGGTATGTATTTTATAGTATTAAAGGACGATACTCCAACCTGGAGTTGATTACTGTCTCCCTGATAATGAAAGCGCATATATACTAACAATCGCAGGCTTCATTTATGTTTCTGGACAAATCCCATACACTCCAGACAACAAACCATTATCGGAAAAGCCATCTATTCCAGAACAAGCTGAACAAGTTATTCAAAATGTTTCTAATATCTTAGAAGCATCCAACTCTTCGTTGAAGCACATTGTCAAGGCTAACATTTTCTTGACAGACATGCCAACTCAATTCCCCCAATTCAACCTGGTTTACGGTAAATACTTTTCCGAACACAAGCCTGCTAGATCATGTGTTGCCGTCAAGGCCTTACCTTTAGGTGTTGATTTGGAAATGGAAGTTGTTGCCATTGAGAAGGAAGAACCAAAGTTGTAATCCGACGCTCATTGAATCTGTAGACTTCCGCAATATTTAGCTTAAATATACAATATGCTATTGAATTACATCTGCTATAGTCGATGTACACATACGTCACTTTTAGTTTCTTCATTGCTATATTGGTTCGTCGTACACGTCAATATCTTAGCCAATATACTCATACAAATAAATTATAATATGGTACGCATTACAGCCTCACAAATCCACCAATTTGCTCTATATCTAATATTCTATCTCCTTAAATTGCTTAGCATCTACCTTTCCTCTTACCAGTGCAATATTCTATTCCGAATACAAGCCAATCTCCTAATAAGTACAAACTATTCAAATCAACTCCTACAATACCCTTAATACCCTCACTATACCCCTACAATATATATCTAGCATTTATGACACATCTGCCACTCACTTGGTATCCGAGCTTAAATGGTGGTTCTATACACCCATAATAACGTATGCATATTTAGCCACTATCAGGAACGGACAATTGCAGCCATATAGGTGTAAAGCCCTATATTATTTATTTCACGTGCTGTAACTCTCAATAATCGCGACATTGTCGGAATTATGTCTCGCACTCAAATCTTAACTATAGACCTCACTAAACCTACGATGAGCTCCGGTTAACTATGTCGCGGACTTTTGTGTAATAAAAACCCGTTCGTCCCATAGTGAAGGAATTGTAATTGGACACGACCGCGAAATTCGATGAAAATTCTCATACTCCCGGTGGAAAATTTTGATACTACATACCTAATAGTTAAAGAGAAAGTTTACTTACAGTTCCTTTGGAATTATAGCATAGAAATCGACTTCAAAATGGCTCAACGTGTTACTTACAGAAGAAGAAATCCATGTATGTTTATATCTAAGTATGACCAGGACTATTGAACTATAAGAATGAAAGAGAAGAGTAGAGGATGGTTATACGGTCCAATGAGAAATATGTGACAAACCGTAATGTAGAGCTTCGTGAAGAAAGGTAATGAATTTAGTATGTTTGAAAGTAAAAAAGAGGTGTATACCGAAGAATGGGATAAGAAGTATTTGATTAGACGAAATACGGGAAGTGAAAAATTAAGGAATGGAAATGAAAAAAAGATGATATAGAGAGTATTCAAGAGAAACGTCGTTAACCAATACTTTGAGGAGTTAGTATCCTATAATACTCCTTAGAATTACATATAGTTCAGTGGGCTGGTCAAAAAATTGATATTTTTTGAATTTATACTAACAGAATATAGACAATACCAAGTCTAACAAGATCAAGGTTGTTAAGACCCCAGGTGGTAAATTAGTTGCTCAACACGTCAAGAAGCTCGCTTCTAGACCAAAGTGTGGTGACTGTGGTGATGCTTTACAAGGTATCTCTACTTTAAGACCAAGAGAATACGCTCAAGTTTCTAAGACCCACAAGACCGTCCAAAGAGCCTACGGTGGTTCTAGATGTGCCAACTGTGTCAAGGAAAGAATTGTCAGAGCTTTCTTGATCGAAGAACAAAAGATCGTTAAGAGAGTGTTGAAAGAACAACAAGAAAAGGAACAAAAGTCCGCCAAGAAGACCGGTAAGAAATAAGTTAACTTAAAGATTGAAGCTTTGTAATATCTAGTTTTTGGTTTTTAATGGTATCTTCTATGTAAATTTCTTTGTCGTTTTTAATACACATTTATACGTTTAATTTCCCTGTAGATTTTGTATTCACGTAGTATTTCATTGGGGTAGATCTGGGTGCATTTGATTATCAACAATTTGGCTCAGGAATGATGTCAAATTGCTACAGTTCCATCATGTGGCGAATATCTCAATATTTACTTTGATATCCTTTCCCAATAGATAGTAAAATGTCATTGATAATAATCTCATATTAACAATGTTTGTAAAGCAATAAATAAATAAATCTAGATCCCGATAACAAATAAACTGGATAAAGTCCTACATTATAACATAAATCGTCCGATTTAGGCATGATGATGATAATCAAACGGAACCGTTGTCCCGCTCACCTCCAAACCAAAAGCTAATTTCAATTGTGGCTTTAATATCGAGAATACGAAATTATAAGAGTGTCATGATGATTATCATGGGTGGTCAGTTCATTTTTGTAAATACTTTTAGAATAGGGTAATCCCTAATTTAGTGGATATCTCTATTTTTTAATTATTGCAAAATATGTATTGTGCACTGAGGTTCTTATCTAAAATTCCTTGTTTAGATGACCTAGTCCTTATTTGGATGATTCATTCAAGATTTTATATAATAAGAGAACTGAGTCATATTCTAGAATAATCACTATTTTTATTCTTGAAAGTATCTATATTAATAAAATCAAAAATAATCATTATTCGCAATTATTCATACTGGAGCTTAGAAGATGGATTCAACCAGGCTAACAAGTTTGCTTAAGAACACCTTTATTCCGCCAACCATAACGAAAACAGAAGTCAAGATTCCGAACTATCATCCATGTCTAATAGTTCAAGATTCTCAAACAGATGTTAATAAGCTAAAGCCCTGTGGATGCTACGATAACTTTTGCATTAAAAATGCGTCTGCATGGATTCCTAAACCAAGAAAATAAATCAAGGAAATAGAACATCTTGTCGTCAAATAATAGCCATGGCTCTACCTAGAGTTATGTAGTTTATCGCTTGGAATTCTTGGAAACTACCACAAGCTCCGGTATTATCATTACGCCAGTAATACTTAGACTGTCATATTTAATTCTAAATTGGTATACACGAATACCTAGTTTTATTCTTGATAAGTACAGAAATTAATAATAATAATAATAATAATAATAATAATAATAAATACATGATTGAATTAAATAAGGAATAAATAAGTCGCTTCAATTTGTATGTAACCAATTAAGACCATTAACAGAAAGAAATGTATAGTGTTCCGTATTTGCCTTCTTCCAGTTGTATGAAAGTTACTTATCCATCCATCTGACTAGGACTTTGTGAAGAGTTGACAAGTTCATTAGTTACTTGTTCTCGCTTCCAAAATCTTAGTAGTAAGTCGCCATAATTTTGCAAATCCTCTACCGAAATCATTAATTTAAAATCTAACAACAATAAGAATTGCAACTCAAGATAGTTTAACTCTTCTAATGGTAAACCTCCTACTTTTGCGTATCTTAAATTCTTATAGAATATATCGGAGAAGAATTTTGATGAAACTGTGATACCAGATATAATTAGCCTGTGGATATTATATGAATCCATGACGAATAGCTGTTCTGACTCAGGTTCTTGATTTTGCTGATCATCATTACTTTTGGATTGTTTGAGATTATTTGCCTTCTTGGCGATCCGATCAAAATATACCAATAATGATAGAAATACTTCATTTGTCACTGGACAATATTTCAATACCCTCGCCAAATAGGCATGTAAAGATATACCAGGAACATTTGTACCATGAAATGCTAATACGTTGGCTAAATACTTATTCTTCATTTCATCATCATCATCCTCTTCGTCGTTGTCATCATCGTCATCATTACTTAAATCGTCAGGATCCATATTTGAATCAACTGAAGCATGCTTTTGTTTTAATTTTTCCAACTTTTTCTTCTTCTTTTCTTCTTTCAATTTCTGGCGAACTGCAATTGTATTATCGAAATGGTTAGGGTGCAATTTATCATTAGCTTCAATTATTTTAGTCAACAAACATGATAACATTAGTATTAAGTCATTGACAGGATAGTCAACTATATTTAAATGCTCATTATCGTCTTCTTCTGAAGAATCATTTGTCAAGTTTTCTAAAAATTCCTTATATGTCATGTAATGATCAGGCTCCTGAAAAAAATGTGTAGGCTGATTATTGTAGGCATTTAATTGCAGTTGTTGAGATTGAAATTCCTGATTTTGTATCGGTGCTGTACTTGGATTAGTGGGCATTGGTTGTCTGGAAGATCTGGGGCTGGGTATGTAGATGGAATTGAAGGGTATGTGTTCGTTTGTAGTTGAGGTTGGTATTGAAAGGATTTCGAACCATCAAACCCATAATTAGAATTTGTGAATGAGCCCGGTTGCGGCATTCTAGTGCTATTAATTGAACTGGAGCTGAACGATTGGTTTGCGGTGTTTACTGATTCGATTGAAATATTTGTAGTTGGTTGCCCGGTTGAGGTGAGCCCAGCAGGTCTGAGGCTTGCAGCAGCAGAGCTATTCTGGGGTTGTGTCTGGACACCATACGTGTTTCCACCCGATGCCATTGGGATGTATGAATTAGTCGACGAATACGAGCTGCTCACAGCAGTGGGTGTGTTGTGACCCGGAGGTATATAATTCATCGTGTCATTATTAGGTGGTATATATTGCGGATTGGAACTGTTACGGTATATGAAACTCGGTTGATTTGGATACGAGAAGTTTGTGAAATGATTGTTCGGGTTAGTGTAGCTGTTGGCATAGTCAATTGACTGGGAACATCTCAGATCGTTATCTCCCCGGCTATCGCCTTCCGTAGGTATGAATTTATTGAATGACGATGCATGCGATGCATTATAGCTCGAAGGACGGCCATCACCGCCTTGTTGCAGCTGTAAACCACCACTCGATAGGTCTTTTTGGCTCGGCGATTTCCCGTTTTGCTGCTGTGATGAGGATAATAGGTTTCTGGTCAAATTCGAAACGCTGCCCTTCGGCTGCGTGGAACTGCCAGCTTCTGGATTATTGTATTGAGAACTCATCAATATATACCAATAATTGTTTGTGCTTGTCTTTTACTGTGTGGATATTATCAATTGCTTTACTGGGTTTTTCTACTTTTTTTTCAATATACTTGTGCTATCGTCGTTAGTGATATTCTTCAAATTCCGCCAACAAGGATATTACGTACGAGCATAAATCTTTCTAACGTCTTCTATTGTCATAAACTGATTTTTTTCTCTTAGTACATAGACACTTCCACTGTATTTTCCGCTTTGCGTTGTACTATTACAATTTCGCTATAACCCAAGCAATCTCTAATTGTTCTTTTTTCGAGTTAATAATGCTCTCTAAGCGTTGTTTATTAGGCTTGATCGAAGGCCCACTGATTTCCTATAATTTCCGAAATTACACAAAACCTCAAAATGAGCAAATGTGGTCCAACACTACTACAACGTTTTTACCCGTGTATTCAGCATAATGAGTGATTTGACCATAAGCAATTATTACTGGTTAAAGAGTCGCTAATACGTTAAGATATGTCTACTGCTTCGAAAATCACCTTTGGTTCTGCGTGTCTCCTCGCTGGTGGAACATTTTTGGGTATTAATTACCTCCAAAGAAGCGAAAGAGAGTCTCTCAGACAAGGTCCAATTAGAGATGCGGAAAGAATGGCCGCTAAGGAGTTAAGCAAGAAGCAGAAAGTCAATGATATGGAACACAAAGAACAAGTGATGCTTCAGGAGAAGTTTGCCAGCGTTCAACCGTTAAACAACGAAGTTATACGGGCAGACGAGGAACAAAAGTAGAGAAGATGGGTACGAATGTACATAGAGTGGCACAAAATATGTAAATAGTTCAATAGTTTAATGGTAGTACAGATAATCATGTAAATATATGTATGTGTTCTTGGAGACACCCGTGGTTTGAATCGGAAGATTGCCAGCTAGATGTACTATGATGCACGTTTTATTTGATCTTCGAATGATCGGACGCCCAGCAATGTCTTCGAGATGCTCGAAGAGTTTCTCGAAGTGTTTGCTAGCGCTCAGCCAGGGGCCTGCCTCAGAAGATTCACCAATACGGGTCGTCGGAAGGAGGATGTTCGATCTATTGAATTGGCATGCAATTCATCTGACCAGGCCCGACGGCTGAGGATCATTCGTTATATAAAGAAGCTATTGCTAGGTATGGCGAAATTTTCCATCGGTCTTTATAGACGAGATGGGACACTTCGACAATTATTGTTGGTATGGACACGACTATGGGCTTTTTGGCAGGGCTAGTTGTGTCCTTATGGGATGCAATGCAGGGTTCTAGAGATGTGAATGGAGGGGGGTACAGGAAGGTGTTATAAAGATTTAGTATTATTAGACCGTACGTGGTACGTATCGATTAGAAACTATGTAGAATTTGAAATTGTAGATTATTTTGTAATTTATATATTTGATAATTGGGGGACTTTTGACATTGGGTAATAGGTCAACTATATTATTCCATTTTGCCAATAACGCTTTCTTCTTCGTACGATTCGTTACTCTGTTTGTCGAGGTCGTCGAGTTCGTCGTTGCCATTTAAATGGAGTGCTGGAGAAGGCGTTAAGGTATTGGAGTTGTTATTTTTAGGAGCTAAGGTTGGGGATCTCAAATCGTCCTTTCCCACCGGGGGGATAATCGAGTTGGAGCGACCGTTGATCCTTGAACTAGGGGTGCTAGACGTTTCATTGTGCGTATCCAAATATCCGCCTGCCAATGATGGGGACTTGATGGTTTGCTGTTCACTGATTGGAGGGTAATGCGAAATGGAGTGTGATCTATTAAAGTTGTTGTTACCGGGACCATCGTAGTATTCGTTGCTGTTTAAGTCAAAAGAGTTTTTGAATTGCGGTTGAGGAAAGTTGAACCTAACAGTGCTACCGTGCCCAGGTTTGTTCGAGTCGGGGTGCATTGGGGGAGTAGACGTGTTAGACGTGACGTTTGTATCAGCTGAATTGCTCGGAGAAAATGGCGACGGGTACTTTGGATCGTCAGCCTGGTTTTCATCAGGGAAAACTGAGTTTCTTCTGGACGGAGTCTGGCTCTCGTTCATCCCCACTAAAATGCTTGCTGCCTCCAACAACTGAACTTGCTGGTGCTTCGAAATCAACAACTTTTTTGTGACATTCCATTCTGGAGTGTGCTCCCATAAATGCTTTGCTAATGATGATATATGTTTATAACCTTTTCCGCACGCTTCACACTTCAACTCTTCTTTCAAACGACCTGTTTCACCTTCACTGATTCTTCTAACAACAAATTCACGCGATAATGATGGAACCGAAGACGAAATAGGCCCTCCCGTATGGACCTGATGGCCGCTATTGGGGATAGACTGCCCTTGGGTCTGTGTCGGCCCCGAAGACTGGTGCTGGTGTTTTATCGGAATTGTGTATGGTGTAGCAGACGAATTACGTCTATTATAGTTATATTGCGTGTGCATGCTTGTGGACATTTTCAACTCAACCTATTTTTCTCTATTATCTTTATACTTCAGCAGTTATGATTTTGAAAAAGACTTAACTCTGCTTGAATTATAGGACTTTATTGCTCAGTATTGTTTTAGTACATATAGTTTTTCGAATTCGGAAAAGACAAATAAACCCTGCTTTATCAATAAGAAATGATCAGTCAAGCGATTTTTGCTTGATAATTTTCAATTTATTAACTAGTAACTCTTTTCAAAGTATATATTTATGTTCTTGTAAGAAATATTGCTTAATGTTCGTTGTTTCTGGTGAACCAAGAACTTTGTTTGCACAAAAAATTTTTTTTTTTCAATTTTTGGCGTTTGGTCACGAGACTCATCAAACCCCATATTTATCGGATAAACTAATAGCACCCTGAAGACTATGCATTGGTAAACCTAGGTGGTTATTATATATGACATGTAGAGGTATATATAGGGTATGCGATACTTAATTGGGGAAAACACGATGGACAAAAAGAGTGAATTAAAAGGATTCTCCATCAATATCTACCTGATCATTATTCGACTGAAACCCTTCCTCGGTGGAGTAAAGGATCGACTGGACCTTTTCTATGAACTCATTAACAGATAACTTGTTAAATTCGGACTCGTCTAGGTGTTTCAAGTTCTCGGTGAGAATTTCGATTTCTCGTAGTTTGTTGAAGTAAAAGTTTCGCTCGGTTTCAAGGCTTTCGGCCAGGATCTTGTACTCCAGAAGCTCCTCGTTGACCGTGGAAAGCTCGTGGGTCGTGTCGGCCAACTCCTTGTTCAATTGGACGAGTTTACTTGTGGCGTTGGTGGGGGTGTTTGGTGTGATGGACGTACGGCCCGTCGAGGGCACTCTGCTGGGCAACGTTGTACGACGCGACCCAAGAGACGACTCTGACGATGTCCTCGACCGTTCCTGTGGAGTCACACTGAATCCACTGCCATTGGAGTACAGTCCACTCACTTTTCGTTTAGAGGCCGCGTCATACACACCGTTTACGTCCTTGTTTTCGTGCCAAAACTTCTTGAACCACTGTAATAGCAAGAGATTGTCCTGTAACCGACATTTCACCAACCGCTCGACATCTATGGTCTTATTCACCTTGTGCTTGGTAAAGCTGGCCTGTAATATCTTGAAATTGTGTATATAATCATATTCTGTCTGGGCATTGAATTTGACCTTTGTCATCGGAATGCCTCCCACTATCGAGTCCATTAGCTGGCAGTACGCCGCTCCCGTGCCACAATTCTCGACTTTGCCATATTGGAGATCTAATGTGCTATTGAGCCAATGCAAAAGCTCTGTTCTCGACTCACCTATCGCCATCTTGTCATCACTATTTACAATGATGATATATGTATTTTTGATCTACCTATGTATCGAAATGTAAACAAACCTGGTAAATCGGTAGACACACGTATATACAAGTTTTTAAACCCCCGCCAGTAATTCTTCTACTCTTTACGTCTGTGTTTCACCAGGTATGGCGCTAAAGTTCTACAAAAAGCTTTTTTCAATCAGAATGGCAAAAAATTTATCCTATAAACATATTTGATTTCGACTAATTCCTATATGGCTGTAATTGCCATATACTAGTAGAACGCGCCATGTGACGGTGATCTTGGACCGAAAAAATTCGTCGACCCGTTACCCGGAATTTCTTCCCGATTGGAATATTGAAAAATTTTTCTTAGTTCTAAATTGGTACTAACTCGAGCAGTTTGAATCAATAATAACAGTAATATAATACAAAATGGTATGTTATAGATAGTGAAAGGAGGACGACAGCGGAAATGAGGTATTGAATTTTTTTCAAAAGTAGAGAAAATTTTGTCGTCGGGGTGTTGGAAGACACAGAGGCCCATACATAGACAAGCAGTGGACATAAAACTAACAATTGGCAGGATACTAAAACCCCAGTTACTTTAGCTAAAGTTATTAAAGTCTTAGGTAGAACCGGATCAAGAGGTGGTGTCACTCAGGTCAGAGTTGAATTCTTGGAAGACGCTTCCAGAACCATTGTCAGAAACGTCAAGGGACCAGTCAGAGAAAACGATATTTTGTGCTTGATGGAATCCGAAAGAGAAGCAAGAAGATTACGTTAGGTTATGGCGAACATATAATAGAAAAAACAATAAGATATCGATATCATTAGAGTTAGTTCCCATCGGTTGTGGTTGAGTTAATTTTGTACATTTAGTTATTACATAATTTAAATATATATTTTATTAAATGGATATGTAATAGTTCGTTAATCGTTGTGCATGTTTCTAGAATTGTCTCTATTGGTAGAAGAATCTTATTTATCGCTGGATTTCGACTTGAGCAAAGTGGAACTAAGAATTTTTCAATCAATAGACTGCTCGCTGATTATATATAGGCAAATCGTACGTTGTATTTTGCTTTATCTGTTGGCCTACAAAGTTATCATTCCAATCCCTTTTAAACTCGAAATGCTACAAATCTATATGCTATCGATGTGTGCATTGTTTCGAAAGAGATGTTCCAAAAAGAAAAAGATGTTCCAAGGAGATATTCCACAGATGATCCAAAAGCCAATTTGAAATTAAGGGTATCTTACTACAAATGAGCTATACGGCTCAGGTTTCTCTAGCCACCCCGTTATTCCCTCATTTAATACTGAAACCTCCAAGTTCTCGGGTTTCTGGTCGTTAATATAGTCTTGGATCCAACCTGCCACTTTCGTGGCCCTATTCTTTGAACTATTACAATGAACAATTATGTAATTCGTACCCGGATTAGTCCCATATATCTTATCAATCACCTGATCCTTTATATTTGAATACCCCGAGATAGAAGTGGCAGGAACATTGACTGAGTCACGAATGAATCCTGGAGCACGGTCATTTCTCAAATCAAGAATCGTGGCAGCTTTCCCGGCAGGAAACAATTTTAAAACTTCATCAGCAGATTGACGAGATGCCGTTGCCAGAGGTTCTGAATAAAGTTCTAGCCAATCCTTTACCAGTATGTTTGATTCTTTACTGGACATTTTTTGTAGATATGCTAAGTTAATGTGACTCAAATTGAAAAATTACTAACTCATATAGTAACGCCTAAATTATTACATAAGCTCTGTGATTTTCGTATAAAAATACATTTTAGCTAGCTTTTGAAGAATGGTATTAAAGAACGATTGCAAGTTTCACCATGGTTTGCAGTAAGAAAGTTATGTCTAGCGATTTACGTCGAGTTTTCGATGACCTTTCGTTGGTCGACAAGTTACTACCACTTTGGATTATTTTAGCCATGATCTTGGGAATATTATTGTCCGTGTACGTACCTTCCAGTCGAGAAGCATTCGATGGAGCTAAGGTGGTTGGAGTTTCAGTTCCCTTGGCCGTTGGGCTTATAGTCATGATGATACCTCCATTATGTAAAGTTGAATGGGAAAACTTTTTCAGTTTTTTCAATCTGAAAAAATATTTAAGATCGATATTAATATCGTTGGTGATAAATTGGATTGTATGTCCGTTCTTAATGTTCGGTCTTGCGTGGCTTACATTATTTGACTTAGACGAGTACAGAACAGGGATTATCATGATTGGATTGGCGAGATGTATTGCTATGGTGTTGGTTTGGAATGAAATATCTGATGGTGATAACTCATTATGTGCAGTGATTGTACTTGTGAACAGTTTACTTCAGATTGTGCTCTATGCTCCGTATCAAATATTCTTCTGTTACGTGATCACCGGTGATTATCATCAGTCTCAAGGGGCGGGAGCAGGTGTCACATATCTGTTGGTTGCTCAGAGTGTTGCATTCTTTTTAGGGGTCCCATTAGCAATTGGTTTCTTGATCAGACTTATCGCTAGATTTACCGTTGGAATAAAAACGTATGATTCAAAGATACTTCCTTTCATTGGTCCTTGGGCATTGATAGGCTTATTATACACAATTATCGTCATTTTTATAGAGACAGGGAATGATTTTATTCGTGATATTGGGTCTGGTTTGCGTTGCTTTGTCCCATTGATTGTCTACTTTATGATAACATGGTTCGGCACATTTTTCTTTTTGAGATGGTTCCTTGGACGCGTTCCTCCTAGAAAAGAGGGAGGGACTGTTGCTGATGAGGATACTGAATTGTTGTGTGGTTGCGAAAAACAAGTTGCGACTGTCTCAGGTAAGTGGGTAACAAATTGTTCAGCGAGCTATACTGAGACCATCACTCAGACATTCACTGCTGCATCGAATAATTTTGAATTAAGTCTTGCAATAGCAATATCATTATATGGGTCTGGAAGTAAAGAATCCATAGCAGCTACATTTGGTCCTTTATTAGAGGTCCCGATTTTATTGATATTATGTTTTGTTGCTAAATATTTTAAAATTAAATTTTTATGGTCAGATGTTGATGATGAGGCAGAACAAGTGATTGAGGTAGATAATGACAATTCAGTTTTCGAATTACATTAGTACTGTTGATATTATGTATATATTGCTTTTTAATATATGACATACTTAATTTCTTTATAATTTTAGTAATATGGCGTTTGTACTGATTTTATCATACGGAGAGGTTTCCTTCAGTATGTTGACTTCATGTACCCTAGGTGTACTTACGATTGCATTTATGTTCGGCCATAATGAAAATATACTTATATACTATATAATGCTTACGAGCTTATAGTCTACCTATTAAAGTCAATTGCCAAATTAATCCTTAAGGGCATAAATTTGATAAGAACCAATATAGTCGTTGAAGTTAACATTCTTGATCTCGTCCTCGTTCATAAGATCAGTTCCATCCTTACATGTCTTTTGCGCACAATCCGACATCAACGCTCCTTCTTTGTAAACATTAAGATCTTTATTCGTGTTAACTATTACGATACGCAGAAACCCTGCTTCTTTAAGCCATTTCTCATACTCGCCAACACTTCTTGCTCCTGAGACACATCCAACATAAAACGCTAAGTTATTCTTAATCGCATCTGGCAATTCTCTAATTGATAAAAGGTCTGATATAGCAACTCTTCCACCCGACTTTAATAACCTATATATTTCTTTAAAAGTTGACGGCTTTTCATCGTCAGGAACCAAGTTTAACACACAATTGGAAATAACGACATCAGCAGTTTCCTCTTTAAGTGGGATATCGGTTATACGTGCTTCTATAAATTCGACATTCGTATAGCCGCCTTTTTCTGCATTGGCTTTGGCAACTTTAATCATTTCTTTGAGCATGTCTACACCTATGGCTTTTCCGTGTGGGCCGACCTTTTTGGCAGCAAGAAATACATCAATTCCACCACCCGATCCTAAATCGACCACCACTTCTCCTTCTTTCAAGTTTGCAAGAGAAAGGGGATTACCGCAGGAAACTCCCAAGTTAGATTCGGTAGGGATTGTTTTCAAGTCATCTAGCGAATATCCAAAAGATGCGGCAACATCTTGATTGTAGTCGGTTAATGTATTATCAGATGTCAGCTTATTCACATGCGCTGAATAATGTTCTTCTACTAAATTGTACTTAGAATTGGCTTCCATATTGATTACTTTAAGGAATTCTTAATATAGACGTGAAAATACATACTGCAATAGAAAACCGTCGAGAAAGTTGAAAATGAATATGAATCTAACGATAGATCATGCTTTTATGGGCCATCTGGAACCGAACTCCGAATGCCATTTTTTGTTGTTAATCATTTTTCGACTTCATAAGAGCAAAAATAGTAGGCAAAAATAGCAGCATGTTTGGTATGAAGTAGTTCAATTTTTTATTTTTGGATTCTCTCTTTTGATGAATACTAATTCTGGCATGGTGTTTTTTTATATATGATATGTGTAAATCCAAAGTATGTAAAACATTAAGCAAAGTTTACATCCAGTGGATATTATAAATATATATTTTATTAAATGGATATGTAATAGTTCGTTAATCATAATGCAAGTGTCTACTATATTGTCTCTATGTGATACGAGTGAAGTCTATTTCTCGCCCGGCTTCGATTTGAGCAAATTCAGGAATCTCTTCCTCTTTGAGATGTCGGAATCTTCCTGCGAACTAGTCTTTGACTTCGAGTTCTTTCTGGATAGCGACTTCTTCAAATTGGAAAACGATGATCTCGTCGATGACCCAGAGTCGGTTCTTTGTAAGGGCGTCTCAATACCCGCATCCAATTCTTGACTTAACGCAGACTTTGGAGTTGCTGACAGCCCAGCAGACAAACTTGGTTTACGAGGTGGTGGGGTTTCAGATCGCAAGTTGTCAGATTCTGATTTCTGGGACATCAGAGCATTCTTATAAGTTTGTCCATCTATATCAGAATTATCAATGACACCACCCTCAGGTTCGCTTATGACATGCTTTTCTTGACTGTACGTTTCAACAAGCGGACTTCTGGGCTTATTACTGGTGTTAGATATAGATGGTTCCAGCTTCGAAGTTTGGTCCATTTGAGTCTTATATAACGGATTTGTTGGGCTTGGAGAATTGGACTGCAGCCTTCTAATATACTCCTCGTGTTTCTTTATTTTATCGTCAACTTGCTTCATGAAGTTTTGTCTAACTCTTTCTAATTCTCCATGACCATAATTGATATTATTATTATCCTTAATGCTCTCGTGAAATTCTGTGATATCAGGCGACGCAGATTTCAGACACAATATCTCGACTTGTTTGGTAACATTTGCGGTTACTTTTTGTTTCACACCTTGCAAATCATCATCCGAGTGTTGGTCTTCAATTGATCCTTGAGATGAACTCGAAGAATGGCCAATTTCATCAACCTTCGCAATAAACTGCTTTGTAACTTCTTCTCCCACATCATGTATCACTTTGTAGTTTGGAACATGTTGCTTGGTACCTGTTGACTCCGACGAGTCTGGTATATTTAATTTGTCCTTTAAGAAATCAATCTTACTAAGTTTTAAATCCAATTTCGATTTAATGTCATTTTGGGTATCCGTAGGTACGATAGGCCTTGTAAGTCTGTAAGAGAATGTGTGATTTTCATCGTTTGAAGGTGACCCTCCTAATATCGAATTGGTCTCGTTGACAATTTCTTGTGCTTGGTTTTTTATTTCATGGATAGCTCTGTTCGCATCATTAGAAACTTCCATCGACTCAATATCCAAGTCTGACTCAACAATTTCGTCTCCTTTCTCCATCACTCCCGTTATGTCTTTGTCTCCCCCATCTGATGTACGAAACGTATCGTATTTCCACATGTAATACTGGACCACACTCTCGAACGCAATCTTGTCTTGTCTGAATAAGTTCGCCAGGTCAATATTTAACGGCGAATCCGGCTCTGGGTCGTCAATAAGCATTAATACCGCCACCACCAAGTACTGCAAGTTCCATGCCGGTGACCAGCTCTCTTGTTTCAATATGTCTAAGCAGATTTCCCCCGTATCTATATTAATGTTGGGATGGCATATTGGTGTGGACTTATCAAACTCAATTTTAGGTGCTGTAAGTGGATACGTCGTAGGCACCGTAATATTAAGTCTCCATTTCCCATTATAGTAGTATCTACTCCCACTTTTGTCTGGTTTACTCACAACTGCCTCCCATTCAAGAATATTAGACATGTCCACTGGCGAAAGCGACACAATCTGTGGATTAGCTTCGTGCGCCGGGTTTTTCTTGAGTTGATTATATTCCTTAAATAATCTCTTTTCCGCCATTCTGTCTTCGTTTCTATAACCCTTACGTATCGTCTCTATACTCTAATATTTGGTATAAAGGCGTCGTCGTTATGATAAACTTTTCTACAATTATGTCCCAGTCCATTTCGTGACCCTCGGCTACCATATATCGCTATTTTTTTTTATAGTCTCTGTCATGTGATACATCGCTAATCCTCCATCGTTTTTTGCTACCTTAACTGCCACCTACCAGCATTCTCACATACCAGCGACATTCTACATCTCATATTTTAACTATTCGGCCGCTACTTATAATCTGTCATCATAAGGCTACTACTTAACTATTTCTACAATTAAACGCATTTCCTAGCCACTTATCTTCGTTAGTCTACCATACTTTTAGGCGCAAGTACACCACAGGGAATATGCTTCGCAGGCGCCAACTAGGCGCAATTTTAGGCGCACTAGGCGTTATATTGTTGCAGAAGTTTACGTCATTATCGGAAACGACCCTGGGTGGGGAAAGAAAGGAAGGAATCAGATTCCGGAAAAGATGTGCGTGTGAGGTCCATATAATCTATGGCGGCCAAATAACTTCACACTGGGTTCGGCCGACCGGCCAAACGGCCAAACGGCTGCAAGTGCTTATTTAATGAACACTACTGATTGGAGCAGCGGACTTTTGTGGCCCATACACTAATTAATCGCTAACGGAACTATTCCTGTATATAGATATTTGTCAATTTTTCACTTGAGTCACAATCGGTATACAAATGATACTTGATTATAAAATCGAACACTCTACAAGCATTATACTGTATTAGACTATATTATAGGAAGAATTACAACATGAGTGCATTGACAAAGTGTAAACATAACTTAAGAGGTAGAAATATCCGGTTATTTTCCAATTCTGCCTTGAATTGTGAGAAGAAGTTAAATAAGTACTCTTCTATTGTGACCCAGCCCAAGTCGCAAGGGGCATCCCAAGCGATGTTGTATGCGACCGGGTTTGACGAAGAAGATATGAACAAGGCACAGGTTGGTGTTGGATCTGTCTGGTGGTCAGGAAATCCTTGCAACATGCACTTGATGGAGTTGAACAATAAGGTTACCGAATCTGTTAACAGATCGGGTTTGAAGGGGATGCAATTCAACTCGATTGGTGTTTCGGATGGTATCACTAATGGTACTGACGGTATGAGATACTCGTTGCAATCGCGTGAAATTATTGCTGACTCGTTTGAGACCATCATGATGGCCCAGATGTACGATGCCAATATCGCGATTCCGCTGTGTGACAAGAACATGCCAGGTACTTTGATGGCTATGGGTAGACACAACAGACCATCTATTATGGTTTACGGTGGTACCATTATGCCAGGTTCTCCAACTTGTGGTAACTCGATTATTCCTGACAAGATTGATATCATCTCTGCGTTCCAATCGTATGGTCAATTCTTATCGAACCAGATCGATGAAAGCGAAAGAAAGGATATCATTAAGAACGCTTGTCCTGGTGCTGGTGCTTGTGGTGGTATGTACACTGCTAACACCATGGCCTCTGCTGCTGAAGTTTTAGGTATGTCCTTACCATATTCGTCCAGTGCCCCAGCTATTTCAAAGGAAAAGGACCATGAGTGTGCTACTGTCGGTGATGCTATCAAGAATTTGTTAGTCCTTGACTTAAAGCCAATGGATATCATGACCAAGAAGGCTTTTGAAAACGCAATCACTTATATTATCGCTACTGGTGGTTCTACTAATGCCGTTTTGCATTTGATTGCCATGGCAAACACCGTTGGTGTTGACTTAACTGTCGATGATTTCCAAAGAATTTCGGATTCCACTCCATTATTAGCCGATTTCAAGCCAAGTGGTAAGTACGTTATGGCTGACTTACAAAAGTACGGTGGTACTCCAGCTGTCATGAAGTTGTTATTCGAGGAAGGTTTAATCGATGGGTCTCAATATACTGTCACGGGTAAGACTATCAAAGAAAATTTGGAATCTGTTAAAGGCTTGCCAGCTGAGCAAGAAATTGTCAGACCCTTATCTAACCCATTAAAGGCAAGTGGTCACTTACAAATTTTGAAGGGTACATTAGCCCCAGGTAGTGCTGTCGGTAAAATTACTGGTAAGGAAGGTACTTATTTCAAGGGTAAATCTAGAGTTTTCGATGATGAAATGGCATTCATTACTGCTTTAGAAAATGACGAAATCAAGAAAGGTGAAAAGACTGTTTGTGTCATTAGATACGAAGGTCCTCAAGGTGGCCCTGGTATGCCAGAAATGTTGAAGCCTTCTTCTGCATTAATGGGTTACGGTTTAGGCCAAGACGTTGCGTTATTAACCGATGGTAGATTCTCTGGTGGCTCCCATGGTTTCTTAATTGGTCATATTGTTCCAGAAGCTGCAGTTGGTGGTCCAATTGCGTTAGTGCATGATGGTGATGAAATTGTTATTGACGCTGAAAACAATAGAATCGACTTATTAGTATCTGAAGATATTTTAGCCGAAAGAAGAAAGGAATGGACCCCACCGAAGCCAAGATATACAAGAGGTACATTGGCTAAATATTCTAAATTAGTCAGTGATGCTTCGTTGGGTTGCGTTACTGATTTAGTATGATCATTTTTTTCAACCTGGCTTTTTTTAATTCTGTTTATCTTTATTTTTTATCTGCATTTTATATACCTTTATGTCCTATGAAAGGATTGTAATATATTTGTCCAATGAATGGATTGAACCAAAAAACTAATTGTAGTGTATCCTTTTTGCCTATTTATTATAGCTATGCTTATAGCTTCTTACATTCTCAATAAGCTTGGTATTTTCATAAGCTCAAATATTACGTTAAATATATAACCTCTATCTATTTACAAATTTCTTTCCAGTTAACAAATCAACTAATAAGTCTAGCATGTATACCCTATCATCATCTAATTGAGGATATTTGTACATCTCATCGATAAAAAAATAAGGTATCTTCAAACTCTGTAACGTATCATAAGTTTCAATACTATACTGTTTTGAATTAAATACTATCATATCGTCTAAGGCATCCAATTCATTGATTAATTCAGCTCTTTTGTTATTTATGCTATGATCTTTAATTTGTGCATTTATATTTGATAACTTTGATAACTTTGTATTTGGCTGTAAGTTTTTAATTGAATCCTGATGTCCCTTCAAAATGGACTCTCTAGACTCCTTGTAATTGTCTTGAAGTTTGAAATGCTTAGATATTAATTGTTCTATTATTTCCAGTTTATTTGTGTTTGACAATACGTTATTTATGATATATTGCTTCGCATGATGTCTATTAGTGATGTACCTCGGATCTGGTCCTGCTACAAGTCTATTTTGACCCTTGTTGCTGTGATCTACTTCATCTCTTATCGAATCATTTAGTAGTTTATTCAACTTCCCAATGTAATGATCTCTTTTGGATAGAATGTCCAAAAATTTCTCTTTATGGTTCAAATTGATTGACTTTGTTATCTTTGATTCATTTTCAAATGTTAGTTTAGAAAAGCTCTTCGACTTTGAAGTTAATTCATATGTTTTAATACAATTATGGACAGCAAATTTGATCTTATCATCAGTCATTAATAAAAGAGTTATCCTGCTTTTTTCTTTAAATGCTCGTTTGTCTTTAATCGTCATATATATATTTCTAACTGTAATAAATTTATTGAATTTATATAATTATTTAGGCCTACCGATGCAAAATAAATGTATTACTTATATACTTATTTGAGTCTAACGGTATAGTCGTCTCCTGCCTTGGTGATATATCTGACCCATGGGTAAGACTGGTATTGTAATTTTGGTTCATTAATTCTTAAATATCTGACTTGGATACCACTCGTGGTAAAATAAGGAATTGAAAAATTAACTTTAATAGGTTTTTTGGACAATATAGTTTCTGAATCGACTACCGAAGGTAATCCTAATTCAGCCCTCATGTGGAATTGCTTACCTCCTGGGAAAGTCTTCAACTTCCAAATCAAACAAGCCTTCTCTGGTATCCATTTAACAGTCCCATATTCTGGAGTAAACTTTGGGGTATCGGCATCATCTGGCAATGGGATCACGACCTCCACGTTATTAGCAACAGATCTTTTCTTGATTTGAGCCTTGACAGAACATAATATCTCTATTCTTGAATGCTTATGGACTTTGGTCTTACAATTGACCAAAATCAATGGCTTCACCAAAAATTGGTTAGACGATAATCTATAAGACATTAAGGTAAATTCGCCGTCAGGGGGTATAAATGTAATAATCTTTTCATTTTCAAACTTTGATAATCTAACACACTGATGGAACTTTATATCCTCTAGATCGATATTTTTATTATTAGATTCATTATTAAAGATACCTTTATCGTTTAACCCTAACCTTAAGTCTGGCATACCACTTAAGTGGGACTTAATCTTGACTTCCCCTAAAATTTCACTATTCAATACCTGACCTTGTGCGTTTATTAACATATTGATAGACTCAACCACATCTAAAAAGGCTTCATTTTTCTTATAAACAATCCCTTCACTTCTCCAATTAACAGAATTGGTAACTGCATTAGGTGGTTGAACAATTCTCAGGGATGTTTTTCTGATAAGTTTGAAATAATCCTGGGTGATGTATTGCTTTAAGATCTGTGTATCACTGGTTTGTGGATGTCCAAAATCCATCATTTCATCCAATAATTCATATATTATAACGAAATTATCTCTGATTGATTCTTCTTCCAACACTTTGAAATACTCGGTTAAAACCTCAATCAATTTCGATAAAAATACAATTATTGCCATGACATTATCATTCTTTCTTGTTAATGCACATACGTATAAATTATTATGATTGATATAAATATAGTTTATTCCTTGATAGTTTACAAATGGTTTATAGTTAGACTCTTCATTATTTTCATCATTCTCAAGATCTAACAATAAAAGTGGGAATTTTTCAATCGTATTAGAAGGAATGTCTCCTTTATAATCTCGTGAAAGTAAGGTCTTCCCTTTTATGTC